TCTTAATGATGACCAATGACCTTTCCCAATAGACGACTGCACTGCACCGGACTGGATGCAATTGCTGCTGCACCAGAGGTCACCTCCAGGTCAGGGCAATGTGCCCGATCACACAGCTTGTTTCTAAATGGCCGTGAAGTGGAACGAATGCACTTGCGAGGTTGCGACACCCGCGGAAGTGTGCGCGCAGCGCCATCTTACCTACAGGCAAAGAGCAACTGCAGTATCGGAACATCACGCACACGAGACGACCTCCGGACACGGAGCAAATATAATGAGCAAGTACTAGCTGACAACCGACAATAGGTGGTCCTGTAGCTTAAAGATTGAGTGAGCTAAGAACCCTTGACATGTTACGAAATTTTACACAGGGCTCCGAACTTGGGCGAATTCTTAGAAAGCGACCAAAAACTGATCTTAAAGAAATAAGTTTTGAGGGTGCAGAACGGATTCAACTGGTTAGGGACAGGGCTCAGTGGCGGGCTCTTTGTGAGCATGGTATGAATTTTCGGGGTCTCTATGCCAAGTAAGCTACTATAAGCTTCTCAAGAGCAATTCTGCTGTGCTTCATCTCCCATCAGCCCCCATCAGCCAGCCGACGGGCCGGCCGCTGCCTCGGCCTGTGGCTATTTGCAATGACCACGTAATCTTTAAGAATGCAATCCGTACCGCAAAGAAAACACAAAGCTTCACCATTACAAAGGCAAGTTGGTTGACGCCGTTTAAGAAAATAATCGCTGTTTGCAGCGAGAAACATACAAAACCCATGAATACAAAATGTAGAAAAACTGATTGTTCAAGCAGGTGGTACATATAGTTACCAGAGGGCTTTAAGGGGTTAAACTGAACTGCGGGCGGCGACACCGAACATTCGTAATACAAGTTTCTGGTGCAGTTTAATTCCTCTTCGTTCCGTCATGTTAAGAGGTTCTCGTAATCCCAGACTTCCAGTCAGGCGACGTAAAATTCTCTCTCTTCAAACAAACTGTGTCGAAACAGTCAAATTCCTTATTTATTACGACAGTCACACGAAAACTTTTCCCGTCACTAAATTTATACAATTTCCCGCCGTGGCGCTTCGATGTATTATTAAACGGCTATCACGCAAGGAAACAGCAGATGTCAAATTGCGCTTACACCGTAAAAAAATTTATGGCCGCTCAGCGACCACACGAAAAGCGTGCTCGAACGGGCGAACGTAAAAATGGGGGTCGAATTAACTGCGTTCGCCTTTGTAACATCTTCATTTTTCTGTATAGAAGACGACGAATTTGACGCCCCAACCCATGCTATGCGTTTCGAAACGACTGAAGAGGAGACGGTGGTGGTGGTGGGGGGGGGGACAATCACCCAAAGCAAACGAATCTGCTTTTAAACAGTTTTTTAAACTTCGATGCTGGGAGTGACCCGTCCGAAACGCGCTGACGAAAGAAGGGGTCGCGCGTTGTTTCGGAGAGCTAGAGGTTCCTCCACTTCGTCCCACACGCGGGCCAGAAGCTGAACTAATTCCGTCGACGAGCAGCGTCTTTTGTAGCAGAGGTCAGTTCAAAAAGAGAGAGAAGTCGCAGTCGGGGGATATTAATACATCGAACTTGCAAGGAAAGCAGATGGCTTGGTGCAGCGAGGACAAATTTAAGTCATGTTTCTGTTTTCCGGGCACACAACTGCACTCTAAGTGACTTACAGGGTCATACCAATTGCTACAGGCGCCAGGTCTGTGGTTCGAATCTCCGCAGTTTTATATGAATACCATTTCCGTTGCGGGAAAGGTCACGTCAGTTGACGTCTTGCCAAAGAAACCTCAAGGCCATCCACCGTGTGGTGGTCAGTGCGGGGCGGCTGGACGGCGACAGATGTTCAACCCCCGAGCGGCGACACTGAAATCAACTTCTCACGATTACGACGCAAAGGATCAGGAAAAATCGATCAGTGGTCTCGATTGTATAACTGAAAGACGGCACAGGAAGAAGCAGTCAACATTAATTCACGGAGAAATCTGGAACATGGATTATGCTTATCAAATCTAAAACTTCTCGACGATGGTGAAGAGTCAATTGAATAAAAATTTACTTGGATATTATCCATCGTCTAGTAATAAAACGTAAAAAACGTAAAACGACGTTTCGGAGATGGGGCTCTATCTCCGTCTTCAGGTTTTTGTCTTCTGGCTTTATTCGTGTTTATGAATTTTGTTTTCTACATACTATTCTTTTACGTCCCACGGATGGATGGTGTGGTAATGCCTTTTTATTCTGGGACTTTCACTTTTTAATTTGTCCGGAGATAGGGATTAGCTCTATCTAGTGGGCCCAACTGAGTAGGAACCTGAAGACGGAGATAGAGCCCCATCTCCGAAACGTCGTTTTACGTTTTTTACGTTGTATTACTAGACGATGGATAATATCCAAGTAAATTTTTATTCAATGGATTATGCTGTTTTACGACGTTCTTCGACTGGATTGCGTTCATTAATTCTGTTGTTGTTTTTAAACCAATTCCCCATAAACGCGTTTATTGCTAAGTTTTGATCATATGACTCATTACAAGATATGGGCTAGAATACAAAGTCAATAATATCATAATTAGCAAAAGA